ATATATATATATATATATATATATATATATATATATATATATATACACACACATTGTATTTTTTATGTTTGTGATGGATTAAAAACGCAATAAAATCATACCATAAGGATGGTCCGAAACTAAAAACAATCTAGGGACCAAACATGTAATTCTAATCAAACCATAAGGATGATTTTAGTAATTTAATCTACTTTATAAGAAGGCAAGTGAATTTTATTTCTTGAGAAGTTAAAGGACAATATTGGGCTAATTCAAGCTACGAGATTGTGAAAACGAATCCTACTTATCGGAAGTAAACAAACATTTTATAAAATCTAAATTTCTAATATAAGATTTGCCATGTTTTTAAAAAAACATAAAGCTATGTCAGACGAATAACATCACAATGTTTAGTACAAATTAGCATTATGTTATGAAGCGTATATTATTTTTCATAATAAGAGTTGAATTAATTATGCAAGGAACAACAAAACGTTATTGTGTATACTAAGCCGATGAATATTGCATTATTTCAAGTGTAGTGACAACTTATAAAGTTTCTTTGTTTTTTTAAATTTAGTTAGATAGTAAAGCATTTTAAAGTAGTTCGTGAATATATCATGTAGGACATAAAATTTGTATACTAACAACCCATGATATGTTATACAGAATTTTGCGACCTACTTACCATATTTAAAATTTTGAAGCAGGTTACGACTCTATGTGTAGTAACTATAGTTATACTTGTCGTTAGGCCACACACTAACACAAATATAATTTGCATCCGCATAAGATATTATTGAAGCCTCAAATATTAAAACTACTCATGCTTGAACATAGTGTATACGTTTTTAAAGTAATTAATACAATCTCTTATTTATTAATGGTTTATGTGCAACGTATATTTATTTACGTTCGTGTAACCTAAAATATTTGATTATATAAAAGAAATATAAAGAAATATATTTTTTATTGTTTTAAAAGATAGGGGAAGTAACAAAAATTTAATGGCCTACGCCTATATAACCACAAATTTCTTCAAAGACTTCATTCCAATTCGTAGCTTCTACTTCCCTCGTCATTCTCCCTCTCCTTATAACTCTCGTTTTCTCCAGCAACCTCCAAGCAACCGAAGCAAGCCGCCTCTTACCACCGGTCCCTCCACTTACGCTATCAAATGGCTTCCCCGACGCCCCATCATCACTTCCAACGCCCTCAATGCCATCGCCGCCATTGCCTCCCTTAACTCCATCAGTGCCATTGCCTCCTCTAATTCCATTACCTCCATTGCCTCCTCTAATTCCATTACCTCCATTACCTCTATTACCTCCTCTCAATCCATTGCCGCCAGTATCTCCTCTAATTCCATTACCGCCATTGGCTCCACTGATACCATTGCCGCCATTGCCTCCACTAATTCCATCAGTGCCATTACCTCCTCTAAATCCATTACCACCATTGCCGCCTCTAATTCCATCAGTGCCATTGCCGCCCTTAATTCCATCAGTTCCATTGCCTCCACTCCCTCCTCTTATTCCCTCACTTCCTACAAGCACATCACCCCCACCACCGGTCACTACAACATTCACTCCTCCGGTCGTGGGAACCATTAGACCCTGAAGTTGGCAACCGACAGTTACCACCATCTACTGCTTTAAGATGTAATTTTATTAAGTGAAATATGTTTATTAGTAATAAAGAACTGGAATTCCTACTACATTCTATGTTTTAAGAGCATGCAATTTATGTATGCGCCTCTGCGGTTCTTTTACATATGAGTTACAAACATACTCGATGTTTAAAGTATAGAGAGAGAAATGAGTGGATATTAACTGACACGGGTTTATATACTTTAAATCTTTATGC